CCTGAAAGTGACTACTGATACTTTATTTAAATCAAGTAGCTAATTAAAAATGTGAATATACAACCAAATCCCAAGACAGAAATAGCATGAAAAGGAAACATCAAAATAAATGAGTAAAAAACTTGACCTCTCATGAAATGGCTAATGCAAATGAAAACTCCAGTTATTATTTTTCATAGAAGTTTAAGAGGATAAGGCATCCATATAATTAAAATAAGCTCCAGTGAAAAGGAGTTTTCAGAAATTCTAAGAAAAATATATTTGCCTAATTTAAAGCCTCAAAAGAAGGTTGAAGAGCAACATGTACACAGCTGAAGTTGACAGTATTAAAGACTCAGTGATAATATTCTCTAAGAACATAGAAAGAGAAGAAATAGATATGATAAAAGCAGTAACAGAAATTCAAGAAAGAGAGGCTAAAGTGAAAGAATAAGAGAACAACAAAGCACACACATGCCCCTCCAAACCTTATAAATTTCCAGAGAAAAACTATATAGAAATTTTCATCTGTAATGCTCAATGCTAGAACACAAAGAAGTAATGTCAACAAAATGTTGGATGAAACCCACAAATACCTATTAACCAATCTATCCATCAAATATGAGGGCAAAATAAAGTCATTTTTCAGGTAAAGCACCCAGAAAGCATACCCGCTTCTACATGTCAAGAAAAATAAATCAGTAAAATTTGAAGTCAAGTCAAAAAGATTGCTGGTGTCTTTAATGTAAATGTTTAGAGATTTCTTAAAACATAAGAGATAAGACAACAATCTAGAAGTAAATTTCAGCATAACCTGGAAGGAGAGGGTGTGTAGGCAGGGACAAGTAACAATATTCCGACAGCTCAGTGCTGAAGCAAGCAGAATCCCTCTAAGTACAGAGCCTGAGTATAGATTCTGCCTCCACTACTCACTAGCTGTGTGCCTTTTGAAATTACTTACCTTCTTACTGGTTTCCTCATCTGTAAATAATGGGAATAACTGACTCCCTTCTTACAAGGTGGTTGTGAGGATTTATTGAGTTAATACTGGTAAGAAGCTTAAAATACTGTCAGACATACAGGAAATAATAACTGTTAGCTATTACCATTGGTAGTAACAGGTTTTAGATGTATTGATGAATTCTTAGTATCAAGATGAATATGTTGCTAAAATTTAAGAAAAACCATCCAGGAAATATAGAAATGGAATACAGCTAACAATTCAGCAAGTATCAAGAAAATAATTTTTGAAAAGCATGGTGAATAGAAAACATAAATCCGATGGCAGGAAGAGTATATTACACCAGTTATCACAGTTAATATGAAAATGGGCTAGATTCACCAATTAGAAAATGAGTATCAGAGGAATTTAAATAGAAAAAAAAATCTAACAGTAAATATGCAAAACCAAAATGTCACAAAAATGTTAAAAAAAATAAAGTGTAAATACAGGTAAACCAGGCAAATCTATAAAAAAGCAGATGTGGCAATACTAATTTTCTACAAAGAAAAATTTACAGCAAAAATCACTAAGTAAAGCAAAGAATATCTTTTATAATAATCAAAAGTACAATCTATAATAATCATGCAATGAACAACGGCACTATCTATATAAAACAAACTGTTAAAATTATAAGATAATTTTTAAAAATTCATTTTTAATGTTGTATGTGAAGATAGCATTCTAAGAAGAAAACAGAAAAGTAGAAAAATAAGTTGTACTAGACCATTTAGAATAGCACATTAACATGTAACTTTGAACTTCCCCAAATAAAATGAACATTTAAAAAATCCTCATAGAGCATTTACTAAAACTGAACATCTATCTCAATAAACAGCAAGTTAATTTATTTAAATTTATTTATTTTTAATTATACTTTAATTCTAAATTACATAATACAACACTCAAGGTTTATTACATATGTATATGTCACCATGTTAATTATGCTACACCGATAACTCATCATTTACATTAGGTATATCTCCTAATGCTATTCCTCCCCTTTCCCCTCACCCCATGACAGGCCCTGGTGTGTGATGTTCCTCTTCCTGTGTCCAGTGTTCTCACTGCTCAATTCCCACCTAGGAATGAGAACATGCATTGTTTGGTGTTCTGTTCTTGTGATAGTTTGTTGAGAATGATGGTTTCCAGCTGCATCCATGTCTCTACAAAGGACATGAACTCATCCTTTTATGGCTGCATAGTATTCCATGGTGTATATGTGCCACATTTTCTTAATCCAGTCTGTCATTGATGGACATATGGGTTGGTTCCAAGTCTTTGCTACTGTGAATAGTGCCACAATAAACATATGTGTGCATGTGTCTTTATAGCAGCATGATTTATAATCCTTTGGGTATATACCCAGTAATGCGATGGCTGGGTCAAATGGTATTTCTAGTTCTAGATCCTTGAGGAATCGCCATACTGTTTTCCACAATGGTTGAACTGGTTTACAGTCCCACCAACAGTGTAAAAGTGTTCCTATTTCTCCACATCCTCTCCAGCACCTGTTGTTCCTGATTTTTTAATGATTGCCATTCTAACTGGTGTGAGATGGTATCTCATTGTGGTTTTTGATTTGCATTTCTCTGATGGTGAGTGATGATGAGCATTTTCATGTGTCTGTTGGGCTGTATAAATGTCTTCTTTTGAGAAGTGTCTGTTCATATCCTTTGCCACTTTTTGATGGGGTTGTTTTGTTCTGTAAATTTGTTTGAGTTCTTTTGTGGGTTCTGGATATTGGCCTTTGTCAGATGAGTAGTTTGCAAAAATTTTCTCCCATTCTGTTGCCTGTTCACTCTGATGGTAGTTTCTTTTTGCTGTGCAGAAGCTCTTTAGTTTAATTAGATCCCATTTGTCAATTTTGGCTTTTGTTGCTGTTGCTTTTGGTGTTTAGACATGAAGTCCTTGCCCATGCCTATGTCTGAATGGTATTACCTAGGTTTTCTTCTAGGGTTTTTATAATTTTAGGTCTAACATTTAAGTCTCTAATCCATCTTCAATTAATTTTCATATAAGGAGTAAGGAAAGGATCCAGTTTCAGCTTTCCTACTTATGGCTAGCCAATTTTCCCAGCACCATTTATTAAATAGGGAATCCTTTCCCCATTTCTTGTTCTTCTCAGGTTTGTCAAAGATCAGATGGCTATAGATGTAGTATTATTTCACAGGGGAGCTCTGTTCTGTTCCATTGGTCTATATCTCTGTTTTGGTACCAGTACCATGCTATTTTGGTTACTGTAGCCTTGTAGTATAGTTTGAAGTCAAGGTAGCATGATGCCTCTAGCTTTGTTCTTTTGGCTTAGTTATTGTCTATGCAAATCAATAAACATAATCCAGCATATAAACAGAACCAGAGACAAAAACCACACAATTATCTCAATAGATGCAGAAAAGGCCTTTGACAATTCAAAAGCAGCTCTTCATGCTAAAAACTCTCAATAAATTCCTTGGAACGTATCTCAAAATAATAAGAGCTATTTATGACAAACCTACAGTCAATATCATACTGAATGGGCAAAAACTGGAAGCATTCCCTTTGAAAACTGGCACAGGACAAGGATGCCCTCTCTCACCACTCCTATTCAACATAGTGTTGGAAGTTCTGGCTAGAGCAATCAGGCAAGAGAAAAGAAATAAGGGTATTCAATTAGGAAAAAGAAGGCGTCAAATTGTCCCTATTTGCAGATGACATGATTGTATGTTTAGAAAACTCCATTGTCTCAGCCCAAAATCTCCTTAAGCTGATAAGCAACTTCAGCAAAGTCTCGGGATACAAAATCAATGTGCAAAAATCACAAGTATTCTTATACACCAATAACAGACAAACAGAGAGCCAAATCATGAACGAACTCCCATTCTGGTGCTAAAGAGAATAAAATACCTAGGAATCCAACACAAGGGATGTGAAGGACCTCTTCAAGGAGAACTACAAACCACTGCTCAGTGAAATAAGAGGACACAAACAAATGGAAGAACATACCATGCTCATGGATAGGAAGAATCAATATCGTGAAAATGGCCATACTGCTCAAGGTAATTTATAAGATTGAATGCACCATCCCCATTAAGCTACCAATGACTTTCTTTAGAATTGGAAAAACTGCTTTAAAGTTCATATGAGACCAAAAAAAAGACCCCGTGTTGCCAAGACAATCTTTTTTTTTTTTTTTTTTTTTTTGATACAGAGTCTCACTCTGTCACCCAGGCTGGAGTGCACTGGCGTTGCCATCTCAGCTCACTGCAATCTCTGCCTCCAGGAGTTCAAGCAATTCTCCTGTCTCAGCCTCCTACTCAGGTTGGGACTACAGGCATGCACCAACATGTATTTTTAGTAGAGATGGGGTTACCACTAGTTGGTCAGGCTGGTCTCAAACTCCTGACCTCCGTGATCCACCTGCCTCAGTCTCCAAATGTGCTGAGGATTACAGGGATGAACCACCACGCCCAGCCCTATATTTAAAGCTTTATTGCATGAACTTTTAAAAGAATAATACCTTACATTTGCATAATTTAAATGAATTTTATATGTTCATTTAAAACTCATCAGTAGCATACCTTTCTTGGTAACACACTTATTAAAAATGTTGTAATATTTGGGGTGTTAGCAGCAATAAAACTGAATTTCTTAAAAACAGAAACAAAATTGAGACTTTTTCCTGAATGGTCCCACATATTTCCAAGTGGCCTAGATTACTGAAAATGAGTGAAAATAATAGTAATTAATATAGATTCATATAGTATGTAAAACACTCTTTCAATTATCTGTTACCATCATCAATAACTCTATAAGATATGAGGCTGTTTTTTTTTATTTACAGACAAAAAAACAAGTGAGGAAGGTGGATTAGCAGTTACAGTAAAAAAATATAAAATAAGTTGACTGTTTCGTAAAATTGGCACCTGGTCACGCCAAACAAAACTCCTATTCATAGAAAGGAGAAAAAACGTTTCCGTGACTTAAGGCGGGTCCGGGTTAGGAGACGCGGGTTGTGTGTTAGAAATTATCCAAAGATCTGTATGCCTTGGATTCTGGCTGCTATAAGATCACTCAGGTGAATCTGGGAGAAAATAAAGTAAAATGAATTAAAATTACACAAATGACTATAGCCTATGGCAGTAATACTTTATTGATGTAAGAAAACAAAGTTTATAGAGCAGATAAATCCAATGTATTTAGACATCCACTAGAAAATAAAAACTACATGATGAACCAAATATACAAATGTACACAACTATAAGATAACTGAAAATAAAAATATCATGAAAAATGAAAAGTAGAAAGAAGTCAGGAAAAAAGAGAAGATGATAGTGAGTTAAAATCAATATCTGCTGAGAAGAAACCACCATGTAGTACATTTTATAATAAGACAACTTATGATGAAAAACTATTTTACTTAACCTCTTTCAACATATATTGTAGATCATAAGTTTTCTGTGCGTATCACTTTAAGCCTCACAGACTGATTACAATATTTAGTACTTCTTGATGTTTTACAGGCATATATTCAAACCACTGAATATGAGATCTGATCCTCATAAGAATTACCACAATTATACATACCACTTTGATTTTTGACTTAGCTATTTGATCTCCAAGACTAAAAATAGATACCAACAACCAAATCCAATGCAGAACTTCTATTTTTCTACTGATTATTTACAACCTGCTCTTGGTGAGACAATTATTCTTCCACAGCATCCTCAAGTCAAGAAAAAGAAAATATTTGGCAAGTAAACTCTTAATTCAAATTATTTTATAGGATAAATTATAATATCACTTATAATAAGTTTGATGACTATAAGCAGTTTTTCATTCAATTATTTTTCTAATCTTCCAGTACTCAAGGATAATTTAGAGGTTGCACTTTATTTTTCTATTTAGAGTAGGCCTGATGACTAACGGTAATGTAACCAAACCTATAATTTCAAGGTCTTCCTCATAACTGTCACATAAAGGGAGATCACTCAGGACTACCAAGGAAGCGTGTGTGTGTTTGTTTTTTTAAGATTTGTAGAGGCAGACATGGTGGTTCACACCTGTAATCCTTTAGGAGGCCAAGGCAGGCGGATCTTGAGGTCAGGAGTTTGAGACCAGCCTGGCCAACATGGAACCCCATCTCTACTAATAATATAAAATTAGCTGGGCATGGTGGCACGTGCCTATAATCTCAGCTACTCAGGAAGCTGAGGCACAAGAATTGCTTGAACCCAGGAGTTGGAGGCTGCAGTGACCCAAGATTAGCCACTGCACTCCAGCCTGGGTGACAGAGTGAGACTGTGTTTCAAAAAAAAAAAAAAGATTTGTAAAGAGGTGGGGGTCAATGTGAAGTAAGGCAAGAAACATAATCATGAACAAACTTAACAGATATATAAATAACTTAAAAGGTCTAAATAAAGTTTGTCATAAGACATACATAATAAAGTTAAGGCAATAAAAAGGAAAGGAGAACGGGGAAATGTGTCAGACATACCAGAGAACAGCAGCAACAAATAAACTAATAAACCACCATGCAAAGCTAGCAATAAATGGCAAATAAATGCTTACACTTAGAAATTTTATTTAATATAAACATGTTGCATGTTATATTGCATAGAGATAGCATTTGACCTTTTAGAGAAGTAATACTATAATCCCTTGCCAAAGTACATAATTTCAGCATCAAACAGGGCCCTAATTGGATACTATTAAATGAGGTAAATTTCAAAATTGATTATTGTATGATATACTCATGTATGCTTATTTCTAAACAGAAAGTGCTAGAAATAAAAAGTAGATTCATGCATTGTTTTCTATTCCCCTAAACCAGTGCTTAGCAGGGACTTAGGCCTTGAAGAGGGTTACTCTTTAAGACATTAACAAACAGAAATACCACATGAGAGAGAAATGCTCTGCATGTATTTCCTAGAAAATAAAAAGATCAAAATTTTTTTAACATTTTCTTTTTATATAACAAGAAAGAATAACCTTAAAACATCATACGTTGATTTTAGTCATAGTTATAAATAAATAAAACAATAATGAGATTTTTTAAGGGTTCTGTATTTTTTCAAAGCTGAGGACGGCCTCCCATATATGTTATCATCTGCAATAAATGGATAACATGATGTAAACAACTAATTACTTGCATTTTAACTGAAATAGAAACAAATAACTACTTAACAAACTTGTTTAAAGTTAGTTAAAAAAATTTTTTTCCTAAAAGGCTAAGTCAGCATTCACGAATATTCTTTCTTTTAGTAGGTTGCAATGATCACTATTCCATAGGAACTTATTATTGACTCTGCCAATACTTGTCGAGACCTTAAAGAAGGCACTTAGCCTCTGTGAAATGAAGAGACAAGAATAGATGGTTTCAAAGTTTTCATTCAGCTACATATTTATAAGAACTTTTTTATGTTTAACTATAACATTACTTACATGGTCTGAAACACCCAAGATTTTAGATGTCAGAAATTTCAAAATGATTGTTCCACACCACCAGGCACTACCTTGAATTAGCTAGAAAAGAAATAAAAATGAGGGGTCAGTATTTAAAACTACAAATCACCCAGTTAAAGGATTCAATTATATCTATAAATGACATGGAAAAATTTTAATTATGTGAGGTATAAATGGTACAGGATTTTTAAAAAAGTTCACTTTAGAAAATCTTGTTTAAAAGCAAAGAATTAAAACTGGCAAATACTGGTATAAAATATATAGCAACACTAGAATTCTACATATCCTAAATCTTTTTGTTGTTGTTGTTGTTTTATCTTAAGGAGTGAAAAGGTTAATAGAAAAGAAAGAAAGAAGGAAGAAGAAAACGGCTTCGTACAGAGACAGAGGAGGATTTGAACAAAGAAAACCCACCTAGCCAATGCGTCAAGAAAAGTGGCTGCTTATACACATATCCTAATCTAAAGAGGAAGTTTTAAAAGCTTACTTCTTTTTTGATTTCTGTTAGAAAAAGGGGAGTGTTTATGTGTTTGTTTCCAAATGTATTTCTCAGCTGAAAATCCATTTTCAAAACACTACCTTAAAAGTTCTTCTACCACTCCTGTGGAAATATATGAGCCCATCTTCAAGAAATAACAGTTTGGAAATGCTGAAAACTTAAGCTTTTCTTTAAAGAAGAATATGAACTAGAACTGACAATGAAACTTCTGTTGTTGTTGTTGCTTATTTTTTGACTGCCTTGATTAAAAAAAGAGAACAACTGTATACTTCTGGTTAGCCTGGGGAAAGTTACAGCAGCCTAAATTCAAATCTTTGCATATCATCAACCAACAAGTAGAACAATACAACCACATATATAGAAAAAAGGTAACAGTACAAACTTCAAATCACCTATGAATCAAAAAGGAAGCAACGAATATATAGAGTTATACCTCAAGTCCCTGACTAAAGCCTTTGCAGAGAATGAGCGGAGACCCACAAAAGGATAAAGAAGAAAAGGAAAGACAGGGGTCAAAATTGGAACTAAAAAAACCCAAGAAGAAAAAAGTCCACCTATGTGTAAAAAGAGAGCCCTGGGAGATTGGCAAATGGGAGTACAGGCAGGGCCACAAGAGTGAGTAGGGACAAAAACACCGATGTCAGAAAGGCACCAATTTCTGGAAAGAAAGGAGGATAAAGGGGGAGTGCAAGAAGGAAAAAGTATCCAGCAGGAAAAATGAAGTAAACCAAAGACTATCCATCACTACTGCCATCGCACAAAAAAGAAAAAAGTTATTCATTGAAAAAAATCACACTATGCTACATTTTCCAGAAGAGGTTTACTTGGACTAAGCTACAAAATAATAGATGAAAAAATGCTATATAAATATCCAAAGCTGCTTTAAGAAGATAACAAACACAGAAAGTCAAATGTTTCAGCTAATGAAATCCACACCACTGAACGATAAAATCTCATAAAGCAGAAGAAAATTATGCAGAATTAAAAGTTGAATTAAATATCCTCGAGCAGTGTTTAAGAAATATTTAAAAAGCAATTTAAGCAAGAAATTCAAAAACCAAGAACCAGAAATGGGAAAAAATCAGAACGAAATAAAGAGTTTATTAGACATAGAAAGGGAATGGAAAAAAATGAGAACATTATCAAAAAATAAAAACGAAATCACAAGATGATTAAAAGAAAAGAAATTCAAATAAGTTAATGAAGGAATTGAAGTAAAGGCACTAAAACAATGATGAAGAATGAAAATGATACCAGAGAAAGAAAGTGAGGGGAAGTATCCAGACAAAGTGGCAGAAATGGAAGAAGGCACATACTTACAACTGGAGCACCTGAAAAAAAACCCCACAGCAATGAATCAAAACTAGTGTTTAAATTATAATCCAAGAAAACTTTCCAGAAATAAAAGAAGACCTGAATCGGGTCTTCTTTGGAAAGATCCAGGAGGTACCGGAAAAATTAATCTGGTATGGTAAACTAACTCCAAGACATCTTTCCAGTAGAACTATGAAAAATGAAGAAAATTCCTCCAGGCACAAGTGCACGCAATTTGCAGGGACAGAAGAATTTGACTAGCATCAGACTTATTCAAAAGAAACATACAAACCAAAGCAGTGGTGTAGACACATTTTAAGAAACTTTAAGAGAACCAAGTATTTTATATCTAGCCAATCTGTCATTCAAGTATAGAAGTTATTAAAAAAAAAAGTTTCAAATATGCAATAATTGAGGAAATAACAGCAAATACAAAATACAAAACTAAGTTCCTAAATACAAAAAGTTTAAAAGAGAATCATATACAGAAACAAAGCAAATATAGTCAAATACACATAAAACTTACAATAAAAGTTTTCATTATCTCACAAAGCAAAGACAGACTCAACTTATGCTACCGCGAAGGAAGACAAAAACAGATTCAGAAAGGTGAAAAATAGAATGATGGCAGCAACATGGCAGGCAAATACCATTTCCATATGGAAACTAAGGAAGACATTTAAAGCAAGGATAAACAAATTCATGGCCTTAAAAAGCTTTATCAATAAAATGAGGTGAAAATAAGTAGATTAAATCCTTGACAAAATCTAAAATGAGAATAACAAAATAAAGTGAAAAAAGAAGTACACGAGAGAAATACTCATAGAAGAAATAATCTATTATATCTATCCCTCTGTGTATCTATTTTTCTGTTTTATATTTCTTCCCTATATTCTAGGATTCCTTCTTTCATTTCCTTTTTGTTTTCAGAACTTTTTAAAATTTATGTTCAGGGGTACATGTGCAGGATGTGCATGTTTGTTCACGTAGGTAAACATGTGCCATGGTGGTTTGCTGCACCTATCAACCCATTACCTAGGTATTAAGCCCAGCATGCATTAGCTATTTTTCCTGATGTTCTCCCTCCCCCTACCCTCCCCTGACAAGCCCCAGTGTGTGTTGTTCCCCTCCCTGTGTCCATGTGTTCTCACTGTTCAACCACTTGTAAGAGTGAGAACATACAGTGTTTGGTTTCTGTTCGTGTATTAGTTTGCTGAGCCTAAGCTTCCCAGCTCCATCCATGTCCTCACCAAGGACGCCCAGTCTCATTCTTCTTATGACTGCATAATATTCCATATGTATATATACCACATTTTTCTTTAGCCAGTCTATTATTCATGGGCATTTGGGTTGATTCCACTATATTAAAAAGAGCTCACACATAGCCAAGGCAATCCTAAGCCAAAAAGAACAAAGCTGGAGACCTCAGGCATACCTGACTTCAAACTATATTACAAGGCTACAATAACCAAAACAGCATGGTCCTGATACAAAAACAGGCACATAGACCAATGCAACAGAATAATAAAACCACATATCTACAACCATCTGGTCTTCCAACAAAATCTGACAAAAAGAACTTCAATTAACCATTCTTCAGGTTCTCTGCTAGCCACAAATTATCTTAATTTTCCTTGATTGCAGAATGTCTATTTCCCCTTCATTCCTAAAGGAAACATCCACTGGATATGTAATTCATCTTGACAAATGTTCTGCCACAACCTTCTGGCCTCCCTAGTTTCACATGAGAAGTCTGCTACAATTCAAGTCAGTTTTGCCCTGTAGGTGATGTGTCATTTCTCCATACCTGCTTTCAAGATGTTTTTCTTTTCGTTTTAAAAGTTAACTTATAATGTATCTTGGCACGGATTTATCTGGGTTTGTCTTATGAGAATCACTCAGTGTCTTCACTCTCTGCAGAGTGTGTCTTTCACCAAATTTGGGAATTTTTAGCAATTACTTCTTAAAATACTATTCAGCCCCACTCTCTTTTCCATTCCTTCAGAAATTTTGATGATACAAATATTAGATCTTTGTTACTATACCATAAGTCTTGGAAACTCTGTCCTTTTTCCTGTGATTTCTCTTTCAATTTAGATTGGGAGTCTATTGTTCTATCTTCAAGAACATGACTGCTTTCCTCTATAATATTCACTCCACTACCAAGTCCATTTACTGAATTTTAATGTCAGTTATTGTATTTTTCAGTTCTATAATCAACAAATTCTTCTTTAAAAAAACAAAAACAATTCTTTGGTGAGATTTTATAGCCTTTTCATTTGTTTCCAGAGTATTTAAACCTCATTGAAGTGTTTTTATGACTGCTTTAAAACTCTTGTCAGATAATCCCCACATCCTATTCATCTCAGTGTTGACATCTGTTGATTGTCTTTTCTCATTCAAGTTGTTATTTTCTTCATTCTTGCCAAGATGAGTGGTTTTTCTCTTGTGTGCAGTACATTTTTTTATATTATGTTAGAGACTGTGGATCCTATTTTAAATTTCTATTTCAGCAGACAGTCACTTTGTTTTTAGGTTTATCCATAAGTCTAGCCTACTTCTGTGTGCTATAGTTACAATGACGGTTACTTTTCAGAGCCTTTGCAGTGCTAGTGCTGGTCATCTTGATTCATCTGGTGCCCTGAGTACTCTGTCTCTGCCCCAAATCATGCTGCTGATGCAGGAAGAATGTACTTCCCAAGTCCTGTTGCCATGAGGGTGGAGGTGAGAGACACCAGTATTAATGGGAGTAGGGGTCAGTAGAGGGCAGAGGCTCTTTCTTGGGCTGCCCTAGTCTAGCAGGGCCACCTGTTAGATCCCTGCTGCTGCTACCTGAATAGGCAGCCTCCCTGGAGAGAGAGAACAAGTAGATACCAGACCCACAGGATGAAGCATTTCCTGGACCCTCTTTCTGAGTGTCTTCTGCCACTGGATGGAGTTTCAGGAGATGGCAGCCTGTGGTGTTTTTCTGTGAGTTCTGAGGTACCTAACTAGTCTGCCTTTCTATAGCATTGGGCTGGGATTGGAGCTATAGTTATGAAATCATGATTTCATACACACACATGTGCACATACGTGCAGTGAAGACCTAGAAACAAGGACACACTGGTAGTAACGAGTGCACATACCACTCAGGTCTTGGTTTCCAAATACCATTCTCCCCTAAAAATAACCAGGGCTCCTTCAGAAAAATGGCTAATTCAAGGCTAGCACAAGAGAAAATCAAGAAAAAGCCTGGGGGCATTATAAAGTTATAAAGACATAGTCAAAAGACATCAGCTTAGGGACATTCAAAATGGCTAGGCCTGGAACTGATATTTGTGTATAACATATGGTTTTTCTCCTTATAGATAGACTATTCCAGCATCATTTAGTGAAAAGTGACCTGCAAAACAATCTTGCTGAAATTTCTTTGAATCTGAACATCAACTGGGGAGAACTGCATTACATGAACCTTCATACACATAAATGGGTTTTCTCTATTAATGTCTTAGAATTTTTTAAATAAATTTCCATACAAATACTATATGCATTTTGTTAGATTCATTCCAGATCTATGCATTTTTCTTTCTAATATATAACGCATATTTAAAAAAATATGTTTTCTGTTTGTTGCCAAAGAATAGAAATGCAATTGATTTTTGAATATTAAACTTATACCTAGCCATGGTATTGAGTTCTTCTAATTCCTAATAATTTGTGTTATTTTATTCTTTCTAGGTAAATATTGATACTATAATAAATTTTCCTTCTTTCTGTTTCTTTCCTTTTCCTATTGTTTACTTTTCTTGCATTACTAGGTTAGTTTGGACTTTAATAAAATGTGAAAAAGCACATTTATCTTTATGTGGATTTTAAGTAGAATACTCTAAGTACCTTATTATCGGTAAGGCTAATGACTGCTGAAGAATTTTACTGGAGTTAGAAAAACTATTATTTCTATTGTGTTACGGTACACAAATATAAATGGGTGTTCAATTTTATCAATTTTATTTCCAAAAATTGTGTTGGGTTGGACATGAGATCAGTGCATTATGTGATCCCATTTGGGGTGTGATAACACATTTTGGATTTTCAAACATCTTTGGATTCTAGAATAAGCCAGTTTTATCCGATGGATTATCTTTATCATAGACATGGCTGTTCTTGAGTTACTAATCTCCTACACTTTTGTGTGTATGAAATATTTTTAATCGAGGTGAAATTTTGAATCTATGTTCACGAGTAAGAATATCCTTTTTCATACTATCCTTATCTGGCCTTAGTACTGAGCTTTAGATTATCTTGAGTTCCACTTCCCTTCCCGTAATGATTCTCATGCCTCATGGCACATACAAAGTTCCCCTTTGTAAATTTCAGCATGAGCTCAATTCAATAATTACCTTGCCACCAAAAACTGGAGTCTCCCATTCTGAAGCAGTGAATGTGCTTCTATTGACAAATTCTAAAGCGAATCACTTAGATCTAAAAATACCTTGTTCAGGTTGTGTGTAATAAATACTTATCTTTGCCAAAGATATACAGAGTTAAAAACAGAAAATAATACCTAGGGAGGCTTAAAAAACATGTAAGCTGAACATTTGGTTAAATCTCAACTTTTGTCTCCTTCGATTTTTTTGTTTCTTTGATATTCTTGAATTTAAAACTTAGTCAATTCATGTTCTTTCCAGTCTGCTACTGAAAATGTTGTTGAAAAATGAGAACAGTAAATTTTCCTTTGAGTGCAGCCTTGGCAGAATTTTTTTGATGTTTATCGACACTCTTCTATTTATTGTCATTTTTCAATAGTTTGCAACTGAAATTCTCACCTCCTTTTGAGTTACTAAATTGTTCAATTTTTCTGAAGTGAAAGAATTATATATTATAAGTGTAATATTGATATGTGAATTCCTACAAAGCCTGCATGCCTAAGGACAGGTGGCCTGGGTAAAGAGTCAAATTGGTAGAGCGAATAAAGGAGTAATAAAAAGACAAAAAAGCATCATGTCATCCATTCCAGCAACTTAGTGGACAAGTCTTTCTATTTTCACCATAAAGGATGGGAGAATGCACTCCAACAAGGAGAAAACAGCAACTCCTTCCATTTTGTTTTCTCACTTGTGTTAGGTTGGAACCTACTTCCCTCAACTTGTAACATTTCCAGACTTATCCTCTCAATATATAACATGTAAACATAACAGTTCATTTCTTCTGTCACCCAGCGTGGAGTGCAGTGGGGTGATCATGGCTCACTGTAACCTTCCTGGGCTCAAGCAATCCTTCCATCTCAGCCTCTCCTGAGTAGTCAGGATCACATGCTCATGCCACCATGCCCAACTAAGTTTTTCTACTTTTTTTGTAGAGACGCGGTTTGACATGTTGCCCAGGCTAGTCTCAAACTCCTGGGCTGAAGCTCTCTGTCCACGTTGGCCTCCCAAAGTGCTGTGATTACAGGCGTGAGCCACTGTGTGTGGCCCAGGGTTTATTTTTTAATGGAAATTACATCACAGATCAGTGAAAAAAGAACATTGTCTGTCTCATATTAAGAGAATTTGGGAGTTGCACTACCTGCCTAATAACTTATTTTACTAGAAACCATGGAGGTAACATGAACCATCCATCTGCTGTTTGGGAAGAAGCCAAACAAAAAAATTAGGTACTGGCTGAGTTCAAATTAGAAGGGGCTACAGAGAGACTGTAAGGAAAATGTTAAAGGGATAAAAGTAATAGAGTCTAAAGTTGGAAGCAGAAGGAAAGAGAGATACATGATGGATAGATGCAGAGGAAAGAAAAGAAGGCTGGAAAGAAACTATGAACTTGAGTTATTTTGAAGGGAAGGTTAATTGAAGTTAAAGAGAGAAACTCCAGAACAAACAAATGTTAAAAGCAAGGCTGTGTGGATACAGCAAGGATGAAACATAAAGGAAGAGTGGCCTGGAAGTGAGTTGTGAAATACGTGCGCTGACTTCTTGAAAATGATTTCTAGTCTTTGCTAAGGACTATTTCCTTACATATCTATCTACCTTAGATAGTAGCTATTTTAAAGACAGTAGTTATTTATTAACTATAAATCATTAGCATTTTAAAGAATATTAACTGTGTTCAATTTACAGAAATCAAAAGTAGAATTTAAATAAACTGCATTAAAAACATTGAATCTTACCCAAAAGTTGAGTTCAGATACTCCCAGTTTTTAAATTTTACTTCTCTTAGAATTATTGCCTAAAATGCATATGAGAAAATGAAACAATTCAATTAACATTTATATTTTGTATAAATGGTACATTTCAAAAATTACATAGCCACCCTGTTCACATCAATATCACCAGCCATTTTCCTCCATAACTGTTTATTTTTCAAATTTTGGACATGGCAATTTTCCTTAAGGTGAGGATTAAGTGGTTTGTGTGTCAAGCTGCCTCTTGAATCAAGTTATTTCTCACTTAGATACCTGGCCATTTTCTGCAGGATGAATTCCTCTACAAAGGTAAAATGGTATATGAGCATATGACAGCATCCATGCAGAGTCTGTACATGTGAGTTATCCAGCAACATTAGTGAACTAAACTAACATGAAAATCCTTCCTCTCCAAACTGCCAAATAAAATATTTAAACATGTTTAAAAATGTATACTCATATGAAAAGAAGGAACTTGTGATGCTAGAAAAAAAAGGTAAGATTTTTAAAAATACAGTATTAATTGGCAGAGAACCACCACGCCTGGCAGTCTTTATAAAGGCCTGTAGAATAAGGTTACAACAACAGGCTTGTATTGTAAGGGGAGGGCAGCAGAGGAGGCCTTTGGTCTATGCAAGGTAAGAAGTTGGAATTGAGACTAATACACAAAGCTAGGGTCCTCAAAAACTACACCTGCAGTGCTATGGACTGAGTATTTGTGTCCACCTCAAATTCACAGACTGAATCTTTAATCCCCCATGTGATGTATTTGGAGGGTGGGCCTCTGATAACTGAGTCATGAGAGTGGAAACCCTCATAAATGGCATTAGGGTGCCCGTATTACAGAGACTAGACGTGATGTCTCTCTCTACCGTGTGAGGACAGCAAAAAAACTCTGTCTGCAAACCACCAAAGGGCTTTCACCAAGAACCAAATCAACTGGCACCTCGATTTTGAACTGCTCAGCCTCCAGAACTGTGAGAAATAAATTCCTGTTGTTTAAGCCATCTGTCTGTAGTACTTCTGTTATAACAGCCCAAACTGACTAAGACACACAGTGAGTAGAAATACTTCACCTACCATCTCTATGAGTTGATAGCTTATTTGTTTATTCCCAGGTTTGGGGTGAAAACAGTGCTCTCATGAGAAACTGAATTATGGACTTACATATTATTTAGATTTGGATTCGAATTTTGTCATTTAGTTGGTGTAGAAATTCCCAAAGTGAGCCAGGATTACTAAACTTCCAATAGGAAAATATAAACGTATCAGATTATTCATTGCAACATGGTTTGTAAATGCAAAATTTAGGAAACAACCTAAATGCCAGACATAGGAGAGTGACTGAACGACAGTAAATCCACAGTAGAACACTAGGAAACCACCAGAAAGAATGAGGAAAATCTCTATGAACTGATATCCAGGATAGGTTGTTAAATGAAAAAAAAAAAAAAGTACAAAAGATTATCTTTAATATAAGAAGAGGAGATGTAAAAAATATACACGTAACAGTTATTAGTACTCAAAAAAGTCCAACTAAATGAGTCAACCAGAAAACTAATGGGATTTCTTACTACAGGGAATATTAGGCAGTAACAGGGTGAAAAGAAAGAGTGGAGAGAATGGGCTGGAAGGAATAGTGGGAATATTTTCCTGAGTATAATTTTATATATATATATTTCTTCCTCATTGAAACATGGTAATGTTTCACCCAAAGTAACTAAAATCAATCAGAATGAAACTTCTGCTTCTGTACAAGTTTGTATAACAGGAAGGAGCCACATTTTACTTCCTCACCTAAAAAACCAAAATACCAAGCAAAATAGATTATAAGACAACGATGAACAATTATATGCCAACAAATTAGGTAACTTATAAGAAATAAATTTCTAGAAACATACAACCTACCAAGAGTAACTTACGAAAACACAAAAAAACTCAACAGACCTATAACTAATAAGGAGAGTAAATCAGTAATAAAAATTTTCTCAACAAAGGAAAACCTCAAACCAGATGGCTTCACTGGAGAATTCCATGAAACATTTAAATAAGAATTCATGCCAATCCTTCTCAGGCTCTTCCAAAACACTGAAGAGAACACTTCTAGCACACGTTTGTGGGACCAGTATTGCTCTGATCTTAAATCCAGAAAAAGATACTACAAGAAAACTACAGGCCAGTATTTCTGATGAATATAGAAAAAAACCCCAAATACTTCTATTAAAAATGAGCAAATGACTTAAATAAACATTTCCCCAAAGAATACAGATGCCCAACAGGTATTTAAAATGATGTTCAACATCACTTATCATCAGGGACATGTAAATCAAAACCACAATGAGATACCACCTCAAACCTGTTAGGATGGCCGTTATAAAACAAAACAAACCAAACAAAACCAAGTAACAAGTTTGGCAAATGTAAAGACAGTGGAATGCTTATGCACTGTTGGTGGGAATATAAAATAGTGCAGCCAAAGGAGCATCAGGTGATCTACATAGAAGAGTTTGCTTCAGAGTGCAGCAATATTAGCCATAAACTAACCAATTACTTTAATTCCAGCTAACAAATCTTAAAAGCAAGGCTGGAAAGATCAGCCTATGTTCAAGTAACTTAACTGCATCACAGAAAAAAGCTCAAGAATATTTATAGGAATAAGAAAATATCCAGCAGCTAACAAGGTAAAATTCACAAAGCCTGGCATTCAAGTAAACATTGCCAAGCATGCAAACACTCAGGAAAACACAACCCCGATATGAGGAGAAGAAACAATTAGTGAAACTGACACAGATGACAGAATTAGCTGATGGAGGCGCACAGGCAGTTACTGCTGTGGTGCGTGGTTGGGAGGTGGTGACGGAGACGTTAACTAGAGACACAAAATGCTTCAAAGATCCAAAATGAACTTAGATACGAAAACTACAATGACTTAAATGAGAAATACACTGGATGTGATTAACAACAGGTTAGATACCACAGAAAAACAACCAGTGAACTCTTGAAGACACAGCAATAGTAACTCTCCAAAATTAAATAAAGAACAAAAATAACCTGCAGGCTCCATGAACCACTGAACAATTTCAAGCAGCCCAATATGCATGTAATGAGAGTCCTAAATGAAGTGAGGTGGGAGGCAAATATGTTGAAGAAACAGTGGCCAAAATTTTTCCAAATTTGATAAAAATTATAAACCTAAAAGATCTAAAATTTCAATGGATCTAAATACAAGAAACATAAAGCTATATTAAGGTACATTATATAAACAAACGGCTCAAAATCAGTGGTAAACAGAAAATCTTATCTCTAGCTGGGAACACTTGAAGAAGTAACATATTATTTACAGACGAAAGCACAGGGATGTCAACAGATTTCATAAGAAAAAAATGCAAACAAGACAAGTCAAGCAGCATCTCTTAAATTCTTAAAGAAAATTGCTGTTAACCTGAAATTCTACACTTAGGAAACATACCTTTCAAATGAAGGCAAAATAAAGACTTCATGACCAGGTGATTTGCACTAAAAGAAACATTAAAGGAGGTCTTTCAGACAGCAGGAATACAGTAGGTCAATCTGGCTGTACACAAGTAAAAGGCACTGAAAATGGTAACTACAGGGTAAATATATAACATTTTAAAAATTTCAAATACTTTTAAAAGGTAATTTACTGTTTAAATAAAAACAAAAAGTTATTGAGATTTCTCATATCATATGTTTCAGTAAAGAGTATTGTGACAATAACATGAAAAATTTAAAAATGCACTTTATCAAAATATGTGGGACTGATAAAGCAGTGCTTGGAGAAAAGTTTATAGCACTAAACACATGTTTAAAAAAAAAACAAACAAGAAAGGTCTCAAGTCAATGATCTAGATTTATACCTTTTATAAAAAAAAGAAACCTAGAAAAAACGGAGACAAAAAACCCAAAGTAAACCTTGAAGAAATGGGAGGCAATAAAGATCAGTAGAAATCAATGAGCAAGCAAAAACAGTAAGAGCAAATCAATGAAACCAAAAGCTGGTTCCTTGAGAAAATTAATAAAATTGATATACCTCTAACCAGACTGATCAGAGAAGAAAAAACAGAACACAAACATCAAATGCCAGGGAATGAAGAGGAACTATCACTACAGATACTATAGATACATAAAGGAAAGAAAACATTATGCCTTTGTCAATAAATTTGACATCATAAATAAAATTTTAAAATTCCTTGAAAGATACAATAAAGTTCACTCAAGAGGAAATGGATAACACGAATAGCCTTACATCTTATTAATGAAATGAAACTTGTAGTTAAAAAACATTCCTACAAAGAAAGTTCTAGATGGTTTCACTGGTAAATTCTACCAAATATTTAGGGAAGAAATCATGATTTTACACAAATTCTTCAGAAAACTGGAGAAGAGAGAACACTTCATAACTCATTTTATGAGACCAGCATTACCATGAAACCAAAAAAGACAAAGATGTCATAAGAAAACTATGAACCAATTATTGTCATGAACTTAGGTGCAAAAATTATAAACACAATTTTAGAAAGCTATATCAACAAAAATAATACAGCATGACCAAAGTAAGGTCTATTCAAGGAATGCAAAGATGCTATAACATTTGAAAATCAACCAATATAATGCAACACAATTAACAAAACAGAAAAACTATATGATTATATCATATCTTCCAAAATTCATTTTGACAAAAACTCAACAAACTGAACAGAGGGAACTTCTTCCAACCTGATAAAAGAGCTTCTCTGAAAAATCCTGTAGCTAACACCATTACTTAAGGAGAATAATTAAACCAAATTTATATTTCAAAATGAGCCATTTAAGACATTTAAAAATACTAAAATATGTGAAAGAATGACACAAATCAAAATTAGAAAAACTGAGAAATGAGCTGACAGAAATCAAAGAATTTGAAATAAAACAATAATTTCAGACATAAAAATTCAAGCAGAGGGAATATGAGGAAATGAACATAACAATAATAATGCCTTAAGAGGTATAAAAAGGTGAACAAGAAGAAACTTTTAGAAATAAAAAAATAAGATAAAAGTATTCAAAGAGAGTGATACGTTTATAACGATATCAAAACCTCTTTCTTTTAACGACAACCCTTTTGGACAAGTAAGCAAGTACTCAACGCAAAAACAAAGAAACTGACCAGGTGTGGTGGCTCACACCTGTAATCCCAGCACTTTTGGGAGGCAGAGGAGGGCAGATCATCTGAGGTCAGGAGTTTGAGACCAGCCTGGCCAACATGGTGAAACCCTGTCTCTGCTAAAAATACAAAACTTAGCTTGAGTGGTGGGTGCCTGTAATCCCAGACACTCGGGAGGCTGAGGCAAAGAGACTAGCTTGAACCCAGGAGTTGGAGGTTGCAGTGAGCCAAGATGGCATCACTGCACTCCAGACTAGAGCAACAAAAGAACAAACTCTGTCTCAAAAAAAAAAAAAAAAAAAAAAAAAAAAGAAAAAGAAATGAAAAAGAAAAGAAAAGAAAAAGTAAAAACAAAAGAGACAAGAATTTTACATAGAGCCAACTTGCTTTCAAGTAAAAGGTGACAAAACAAACTGTGACAAACACATTAGAGATGAGCAGACTCTCTTGTAGAACAAGACTAAAATAACCAAGATAACTAGGAGATACTTGACATAAAGACTGCTGATAAATAAATGTGTATTTATTCCACATAAAAACACGAAATAAAGTTGATAAAACCCAGAAAGTACATTATGCAATACTCTATGTTTCGACAATATAGATAGAATTAGTAAAAAAAAAAAAAAAAAAAAAAAAAAAAGCGTTAAGACAATGAAAGATTGATATGCAAAAAAATTCTTTATTTCTCATAATCATATGCATGAACAGTACAGCAATTCTCATATACACTTTAGGAGAAGGCAAATGGATATGTGATATTCTATCATCCATAGGCTTCTTGAGACCCAAGAGAAACAAAAATACAAATACAGGATAGAAAGAGTTAAGTAAAAACCCTATATTCTTGAATTTGATTTGGAAATTCAGAATTTATGAGCTAGTTTACCATAAATGCATGCACACACACACATATTACACACAAATTTTCATGGCAGATTTTTAAAGAAAGAGAGAGCCTGCACCCTATGATATTTCCTAGCTCTGTCCACTAAGAAGGCCTAGAAACAATGACCTACTCAGTAGCAGTGAGTATCCTTGGAGTCCTGACTGCGGTCTTAAACACCATTTCCCCAGTGAGGCCGAGGAGGTGTCTTGCAGGAATGGCTTCCTCCAAGGTTTTCGGGCAGGAGTCACAAGACAGACCTAGAAAAACCTGTCATACATGACACCAAGTATGCTATCAGACCACAGGGTCACGTCAGAGGGCAGGAGAACCTAAAGAGGCTCCTGGTCAACAAAGAAACAATCTGAGAATGGTAAAGATAATAATTTCCAATTAACAGAGAAATACATCAAAAATGTTTAAATTCCTATGTTCGAATGAAACTTAAACACACACATACACAACCCAAAGATCCCACATTTGGAAGATGACAGGGAATCAATTCATTATTTGTAAAACTTGCAAATAAAGAGGAGTAAAATCAACACCCTACTTAACTTTCCTAAATGAGCCGCTGAATGACGGTTTAAGAATGTGAAGCCACTTTGCAATCCCTATTGAATTAACTGATCCATCATGAGCACTGAGGGGCTAGTACCATAAAGAGGAGCATTATGTGCCTTTTGATGGAAAGAACAATACTATCGTTGCCAAAGTGATCAAGGCGTGAAACAATCCAAGTTTCAGATCCAGTTTCTAATACATTAAGCTATACCATGAGACAAAGGAACATGTAGCTACCTACAAGAACTCAAAAAGCAAAATCTGGACCATGAAATCCTCCATGTTCTCTGACTCAGTTCTTCAACAAATAAATTTCTGAGGATAAAACCAAATGATACCGCCAGGAAACTTATAATAAAGAAACTTAAGTAACGAAACTATAAAGGAATGCTGGAAAGTTACTATCATAGCATTCAAGACAGTCATTATTGTTTAGGGCAGGACAAAGGGAGTGCTTTGGGACGGAGTCACATGAAGAGGCTTCTACCTCTGTTTAGAAAATTAAAATTTTGATATAATGGTAGTTTAAGAATGTTTGCCACATAATACATAACATGATCAGCCCTCCACATCCATAAGGTTCCAATTGCTGCAGATTCAACCAACAGCAGATAGAAAATATTTGAAATAATAATAATACTACAACAGTTTAAAAAGTACAAATGAAATGCAGTATACAACTATTTTCAGTATATGCAGTATTGGATGTTATAAGTAATCCAGAGGAATGATTTAAGTGTATAGGAAGACGTGCATAGATTATATACAAATAACACACCATTTTACATAAGAAACTTGAACATCTGCAGATTTTAGTATCCACGGGGGATGGGGTGTCCTGGAATCAATCCTGCCAGGCCACTGAGAGGAGACTGTACTCATCAGTAGCCAGCACTAAGTCTTTTACAAAACATTTGCTTTGTGCAGTTTTATCTGTACTATATCTCAAAATAAAAAAATTTTCATTAAAAAGGAAGGTAGATGAGCACACTGTGGGGATCTCTCTGTAGTGAAATAGTTTGGCAAAATGTTGGAAAGAAAAAGCATTTTCTGAGGAGAGAGAAAAGAGGAGGGATTAATTACTATGAAGGAAAAAAGGATATGGAAAGCAAAAATGTTAAACATAAGGGCAATCCCAAAATTCCAATCTGCACCATACATGGAAAAGTGCTGTATTTTGGCATTACTGTAGTTGGTACCAGAGGACGGGGTCGGTGTGGTGGGAGGTGAGGGAGAATGTTCTAGGTTCTGGCTTATAGACATCAGAAATATGACTACAGTGTAATAGAACTGATTCACTAAACCACCCTCCAAACACACATCCAAATGAGTGTCATTCCATGTAATTCCTGTGAGCAGGCTACACACTTATTCTAATTCTCTTGCCCATTTATCCAGTGGTTTGAGACTGCACTTTTCTAAACTGCCTTCAGAAATAAATTTAGTTATAGGTGCAAATGGTGGTCTTGCTTATGACTTTACTGTCACACCATCAGTTTTTGAACCCAAGATCTGTATTTCCCAGCCCAATTCACACAAATATTCCCAGTACAATTATTTCCAAAAATCAAATCCACTCTGGAAGGGAGGCAAAGATTTGCCATCAGTGAAGACATTCTAAAGTGCCGTATCTGAAGGAAACTCCAGAGGAGTTCCAAATGTTTTGGGCAGTGGCAGTGTCACTGCAATGAGTACTCCAACACTCCTCAAGTGACTTAGGAGAAAGAAGTCATATTTATCATAAAATGGGATATGTTTAAGTAAGTCTTATTGCTATAATAATTTTCAATATTTACTTGCACAGTGTCTTAAAAAAACTTCATATGTAATATTTTCAAGGATAAGACAGGTTTGCTTGGGAAGAACTGTGTCAAGTTGAATGATAATCAGGAAAGGGTCTATTTATTCTGTTATACCTGTTTTAGACAGGAAAACATGCTATTTGGTAAGTTAAAAAAACCAACTTTATGAACTAAACACTTACCCACGTCATTAACAAAGATGAAGAATAAAAAGAAGATAAATGCATTAAATTTTCAAACATCGAAATGAAACTAATGATAACTGAAATCTGAAAAAAAGTGAAAAAATACGTTTTATGGTTATTCATATATTGGCATAACACATACTTTGTAGGTATATAGCCATTTCTAATGCAAATTGCTAAGGTGCATACAAAGATGACTCTTAGCCAAATGATAACAGACTTTCAAGTCACTGCTAGATTCTAAGTATTAAAATTCAAGACTATAAAACTCCATGGCGAAATTTAACTTTTTCTCCATCTGCTGCTTGGAACAATGAGAAATATGATCTATGATTTCTATTGTTTTATCAATGGAAGTAACATAACAAGAAAGATTTAGTTGCAAATACCAGTTTTATTAATCTTATTTTTGTTAGACTTCTGGACTTCTATTATTTATGAAGCTTTACTAACTTTTATGTTTTTAAAGGAAGCTATATTTGGGACTTAAGCCAAAACATAATTGCAAGAATATAAATGTCAGTTAGAGTGTCATTCAGGGAAAATGCTAAAAATCTCATGTCTGAGAAAGAAAAGGCAGTTTTAAAAGTAGTAATAATAATAAATAAAACATAAAAATAAAGGATTTTAGAGAAACAAAACACATATACAGTCTACTTGGAAACTATAATCTGTTATAATATGACATCTATAATATACATTTCAGTTTTCCCTACCAGATATCACCAATAGCATATGTATTAAATGTTACACCAAGAGTACCTATAAAACAGAATCACTTTGATTTTATAAACTCTGAGGACCTATCTTAATATTTGACTTATATATATTAAAAATGTTACCATGTTCAGATAAATGATCTCCTGAAATTTGCTTGGTTCATCATCCCACAACATACATGGGAAACAATGACGCTATCCCAAAATAATATAAAAAAAAGCAAAAGTGAGAAAAAGTATAGAAAACTAACACTTTACTATTCACAGGCAAAGTAAATATAAGAGGGCTACATTCTAATGGTAGTAAAGGAGTTTGAATGACATTACTAAAACCAGAATAGCTAGGAAAAATATATAAATATTTTTTAAAATATCGCTAATAAAGCCACAGATTATTAACAAAGCAAGGAATTAAAAAGATAGATGGCAATCTATAGTGATGAGCATGACGTTTTGGGCCCTTTCTCCCCAGAGGTATCTGCCAATTTCAACAGAGGCAGATGCCTGCCAGCTGAGAGGCAGTTGGGAGACCAACAAACTGAGCAGGCATTTCAGGAGATTCAGCAGTCAGGAGTCGCCAAGAAGAGGTGCTTTAGTTTGGAGTTTCAAAAGGCCATACTATAATAGTGAACCAGAAATTAAGCAGCCCTCAGAAAGACTGAAACCCATCTATGGATCATCTCAATCTGATTGCATGAAGGTGGTTCAAGATTTAATGAGTGCTTTTACTTGCCTCTCAATTTTTCATGTATAATGTCCAGCACGAAATCAAAAATAACCCAGCATAGATGGAGATAAGACACTATCACTAACACAACAAATAGATCCACAAAAGATTTAGATCAGGGACCAGCACATTTGCTATATAAAAGGCCAGATAATAAATATGTTATGCTTTGTTGGTCACATACAGTCTCTTGTATATTCTTTTTCTATTTTTGTTCTATAACCTTTAATATATAAAAACTATTCTTAGCTTGGAGATCACTCAAACATTTGTCTGGCATAATCAGATATGTCTTTAGTTTCTTAATGTTAAAGGAAATAACACCGATAGGATTGAATTCAGGAGAGCACAGAAGTCATAAAAAAAAAAAAAAAAAATCGACCAGGCATGTTGGTTCTAGTGCCTATAATCCCAGGATTTTGGGAGGCCAAGATAGGAGGACTGCTTGAGCCCAGGAGTTCAAGAGCAGCCTGGGCAAGATGGTGTTATCTCATCTCTACAAAAAACTAAAAAATTAGCCAGGTGTGGTGGCACAATAAACTAATTTTAACCTTAATCTATAAAAATACAATTGCATTAAAATCTTAAAGTACTCCCCAGAAAATAACAAATAACATTGAATTATCCCTCTGTAAGCATGAAATGCACACATACAAACAAAACTATATACATTAGTAAAGAAAAATAAAAGCCTAGTATATATCCAGAGAATGGCTAGAAAATCTTCACAGCAACACAAAGCTTTTTAATAGCTTCTTCTTTTTTTTTTTTTTTTTTGTTTTTGAAACAGGTCTCAACTCTGTCACCCACGTTGGAGTGCAGTGGCGTGATCTTGGTTCACTGCAACCTCCGCCTCCCGGAGCTCAAGCAATTCTCTGCCTCAGCCTCTCCCGAGTAGCTGAGATTACAGGCACCCGCCACCACGCCCGGCTAATTTTTTTGTATTTTTAGTAGAGACAGGGTTTCACCATCTTGGCCAGGCTGGTCTTGAACTCCTGACCTTGTGATCCACCTGCCTCAGCCTCCCAAAGTGTAAGAATTACAGGCGTAAGCCATCGTGCCCGACCCCAAAGAGGCTTCTTAGTTGCATCATTACTGCACTGGATTAATAAATGTGCTTGCAATGAAGTGACGCTCATTAAAAATCTATTCTACTCTGTTGGCATGTGCAAATAATGAAAACCATAGAATAATGTCTGTGTTATAACCTGAAAGGGGCCAACTATTATGAAGTAAAGCGGAGGGAATACTTTAAACATGCAGCACCAATTGAGCTGGGGTTATAATTTCATTCTTTGTAGGCTACTGGCAGCATGGAACTTCTTGGCAAATTTCTCACTTCCAATATAAGTATTATTATTATCATCAGTATTTATTATGCAGGAAGGAGCTCTGATGGAAAATCTTAGTATCATGAAATTTCATCAAAATTCTCCATTACTCTCTACTTTTTAATTCAGTTTGGTACTAGTTACATAGCTGCTTTGAGAAATAGATGTTGGCTCAACTCACTTAGCAATGATGAGCTTTATGATTAAAACTCGCAGAAATGGTGCCAGTCATTCTACTCCACAGTCAAAACAGCCAACATTTAGCTGGATTAGAAGCAGAACGTCCTGCTGTGAAAAGTGAGATTAGCCCCTTAGCATGCTGTGTAGCTTGGTACAGAATAGTTGAATAAGGAAAATCTATATAGAGTAGATATATGCAATCTTTATCTCAAACACCAAAAATAACATTTGTGAATAAATATAATAGAAACTCTTTACATAATAAGACCTTAAAATCTGTCAAACTAAACACAGTAAAATAATGTAATTTTATTATTTCATAAAAATCATACCTTTAGTAAACTTTATTCCCTATTTGAAAATTTTTTAAGCCATAAATGCCATCATATTTAAAAATTTCTATGGAAACAACCAAATACATCTTGCATTCAACTTAATTAATATACACAAAGGAATATAAATCATTCTATTACAAAGACATATGCACCCATGTGTTCACTGCAGCACTGTTCACAATAGCAAAGACATGGGAGTGTGAAATGCCCATCAGTGACAGACTGGATGAAGAAATGTGGTACATATACACCATGGAATACTACACAGCCATAAAAAGGAATGAGATCAGGTCCTTTGCAGGGACATGGATGGAGCTGGAGGCCATTATCCTCAGCAACAGGAACAGAAAACCAAACACCACATGTTCTCATATAGCCCGGTTGCTGAACAATGAGAATACATGGACACAGGGGGAACAACGCACACTGGGGCCTGCTGGGAGATGGGGTGGGGAGAGCATTAGGAAAATAGCTAATGCATGCTGGGCTTAATACCTAAATATCGTTAGCAAATTACAAAAGCCACCACAACGCCATTTACCTATATAACTCAGCTCTCTTACACATCCACACATGTACCCCAAGAACTTAAAAATAAAAATTAATTTAAAAATTCTTCTTACCTGTGTAAAAAGAATAAACTAAGCAAATTGCCAGGAAGCATAAAAAGCCACATTGGAAAGACAGAGTGCAACGAAGGGCCTTCTATCATTGCTCGAGGTCCTCAATAGAGAGAATTGATACCAATAAGTTTCACCCTGAAAATAGTCTGTCCCTAAAAAGAAAGACTAATTGCAAAATGATAAAATCTAAATTATTCCATTACCATTACTATTAATACAACAAAATATATAGTTAACTTTTTAAAGTATACTAAAAATAAACTGAAATACTACAAGGCTTGCATGAAGCAATCAAAATTAGAGTTTTAAAAATAATGTTGTAATTTACCATTAAATATTTTAAATACAAAAGCTCATCTTCCTCTACATATGCATGATATTAGAAATTCAATGTCCCGGCAAGGGAGGTCGGAAAATAGGACATGGCATTGCCCCTGCACACCTCAACATGCTTCTCCTGTATATGCAGCAACAACTTTTACATACCACCACTTTTCTGTTTCAAAAAACATTGAAGAGAAATTTAAGTGCTGACAAAGTAATAAGTTTACAACTAGGGGAGAAAAATTTAAGGGGAAAGAATCTTAAAATATTAAAAAATCATTCTAGAATTTAGCTGAAGCAAGTGGAAGTTTAAATGGTCCATTCTGCGTACTGAGATGTATTAGGAACCAATAACTTTTACCATACAGAATTACAGTAACTTTTAGATATGAAAAAAGAAACACAAATATTTTACCTAAACAATAAAACTGTAACTGTTCCTTTTATAAATGCTGTGGTGGATTTTGATGAATCTTTGTACAACCATATATAAATTTTCAAAAACAAAATTCTAAATGTTCATATTGTTTACTAATGTTATCATAAAATACTCTTATGTACTTTGCTTAGTCTTATATTTTTCAAACAAAAATTACTTTTGACTAAGATACAGAGTATAGCACATGCCCTCAATGATACAACCCCAAATGTTCTAATTAAACATTTTTATTCCATGAAACCCTGACCAGACTGATATCACTTAATATAATCCACCTTCCTAGGAATTAAACTGGGAATGAATAGCAGGAGTGATGAAGAATGGGCAGCCATCACCTAATCTTTGAGAAGAAGGCAAAGTGTAGAGCAAGATATAGAATCTCAATGAGGAGGAGGGTTCAC